TGGAGGGTGGGGGGAAGGGAGACCACACATTGCACAAACCAGCAAAAGACGTTGCATTTGCCATGTTGTTTCAGCGTACATGCTTGAGTATAGTCATGTCGCCATGCTAGCACACACTCACGGTCATGGGGGTGGGACCCTCGTTGACTTGTTCATTTTTCACCATGCTCGTACTTCGTTACCCAATTTGTTACAATGTAACCATCTCGGCGGAAACACAAGATTCGTCTGCCCACATCTGTGCGACTCACATTTTTATTCTGCCCGAAGCCGTGCGACAGCACGAGCAGCTCAGAGCCGGTGCCCACGATCTGCACGTTGTGTCGCTCCAGCGCCGTCTTGGACGCGCGCAGCTTCGCCGCCTGCATAGCGCTGTGGGGGGGGGAGAGAGGGGGAAAGGGGGTTGGGGGGGGGGGGGGGGGCAGAACAAGCGTGTGTGGTGTAAGGATACAGGCGTTTCGTCACCAAGACAGAACGAGCGCTGTGTCACTCCAGAGCCGTCTTGGACGCGCGCAGCTTCCGCGTTTAACCACGTCGCAATCAACCGTTTGATTGAACTGAACAACCGAGACCAACACCGGCGGACACAGGGGCTGTTACAGCGAAGAAAAAAAACAAAAACAAAGAAAAAAGTAACAGATTACGGCCATTCCTCCGCTCACCGCATGGCGACAGCAGACGCTCGTCCCGCGCCGCCACCGTGCATGGAGCCCGACGCCATGAACCCCGCGTGCATGGACGAGCTGCCCATGGCCGCCACCCCGCCGTGCATCGACGTCGCCCCCGCCATTGCCCCCGCTCCCCCGCCGTGCGTGCTACTGTTCATCTGCGCGAACATCGGGTTACCACCTCGCTGGCCGAACCCCATTCCCATTCCCATGCTACCGTCGCCAGCGACCGCTGCGACGCGGGCGTTGTCGCTGGATCGCACCTCTTGAAGCATCTGCTTCAGACTATCCTTGGCCGGAACGTCATCATCGTCGGCCGTGCTTCTGCCGGTGATCTCGGAGAGATCCAACGGCTGGTTGTTGCGGTCCCAGTCGTTGCTGCCGGGTCGCGATCCGGGCAGAAACTCGGGATTTTCTTTCTTGCCCGCCAAGTGCACGCCATCTGCTGGCAGCTCCGGCTTGACCTTTGAGGACCCATGCTCCGAGTTGTCTCGCGATCGCGCTGCTCGAATCGCTCCGTGTTCCGATCCTTCTCGTGACTTTGATCGCTGCGTTGGGGTGTGCGAAACCTCCTTGCTTTCTGCGCCTGCCTGATCCAACCTTACAGATGGCTTTTCTGGTGCACTGTAGTTGCTGTGCTGGCCGCTGGCTTTTGTGGGAAAGGGGTCATCGGCATGCGATCGGCTTAGACAAGCTCCCATTGGCGTACTATTTAAAGGAGGTTGCGATTCAGATCCTTCTTTCTAACGGCGATCCGGGTTGTTCTCTGTTTCAGAAATAAGATCGTATCGTACGCTGCCTCTTTACTCGCTCTCTCTGAATTAATCGTGCTGGTTGTGCGATTAGGGTACGCTAGTGGGCAGGTCGTGTGCGACACAAGTTAGTATCGACAAGGCTGACTCGTTACATCCGTCACATTGTCGCGGTACGTACTGTTCGACATGGCTCTTTCCAAACAAGGAATCTTTAATATTCAACAGCAGCAACCACCAGGTAGTGTTGACGACAACTAAAACGGTTAACCTCGGGCTCCGAAGATGAGCAGACACTATGGTACTGGCAAGACGATGCCTGAACAATCTGCTTGAGGGGGAATGGAAGAAATAAAACTCAGTCGAGCAAGTCTGCTTTGTGGGTGGAAATGGAAGGAACTTGTGCTGCGCTCAGTAAGAATGCTGTGTGAGTCTTCATATCAGAAGATAAGCTTGCTAGATGCGAGGAGGAAGGGAAGCACGTGGCTGAAGAAGGAACCGCAATGCAGCGAAGAACTCGAGGTGGTAGAAAAAGTGGTCCCCCCCCTCCCTCCGCTCCACTCTGACCCTCCCGCAATTGGTGGGGTAGGCTGCATGTGGTAGGAAATCGGCGATTCATCCACCGTACATTGTCTTGGATATCGGACGGATGCTCTGCACTGACTCTCATATATGATTGTCCAGGCGCACTGACATGAAAAATTTCTTGAGACACATCGGATTATTTTGTTTGGTTTTCTGGTTTTGGGGGGTCGAAATGAAAAGCCTATGGGCACAGAATTACTACCCGTTCTCATATTGCTTTCGATAGCTTTGTGCCAGAAACAACTCCTCGTCTCGTTCTTTCTTACATTTATTGGACTCCCGGTGGGATTCACTCTAGGACGGCGTAGGCGAGTGGGAAGGATTCCAAATTCATGTGCGAACTCAGGTACTGAGACGCCAAAACCCAAGCATTTCCTTCTGTCTTCCAGGCTATGGATACTGTTGGTGCCTCTATTCCCCGGAAGTGAATGTACATTCTACATGATGACCCGAAATTTACGTGGGAGCGTTGGATGCATCCGGGACTCTGAAAATTATTTAACACTGTTTCTGATTGTGATGTGTGGGATTTGGCTGTTGGTCCACGTGGGAACTGCCGCTGGTGTATAACGATATACTACAGGTGGAAAAGAAAGCTACGGTGCACATGTGCTGCCTATGCACGCCAGCTATTGGGCAGGACTTGTGGCTTGGAAAGCGCTTCCGAACCGACCAGCCAAGTGATTGAAACTCTGATACTGTGTGATTCGTTTGAAGAAGTATGTGTCCCATTTCCTGGGTTCTTGGTAATTATTATAAATCATTCTGACGAATGAGGACACCACAAGTCGTACGACTTGTGTTGAAATTGTTATTCAAACGAGTGACTCAATTTCCAGTCTCGCGCCATTTTCGGATAATGCTCGACCAACCTTGACCTGACAGCGCCAATCCCCACGCCCCTTCACACCTGTCCCAATCCCATTCCATCGCTTTGCCCGTTGCTACGCACCACACCCACTTCATGGAGTGCTGCTGGTGGCAGTGGTCTGCCCCTTCGAAACCCTAGTCCTTCGAATCAGTCTGGCATAGATCCAGAAGATTAGAGGGGTCTTTGTGTATGAAGCTATTGTGACATCTGATAGTCACTGTACTATTTAGAGGGTATTATTTACTGACCAGCTGACATCTCATTCTATGGCCACAAACATGGCCGTCGTTGAGGAGCCATTGTATCCTATCGCCATTCTGATAGACGAGCTAAAGAATGACGATATCCAGCTTCGTCTGAACTCAATCAGACGCCTTAGCACCATCGCACGAGCACTTGGCGACGACCGGACACGGAAGGAGCTAATTCCCTTTTTGAACGAGAACAATGACGATGATGATGAAGTGTTACTTGCTATGGCAGAAGAGCTTGGTTCGTTCATTCCGTACGTGGGTGGTGTCGATTACGCTCCCGTGCTCCTTCCTCCGTTAGAGACATTATGCACGGTTGAAGAGACTGTTGTCCGGGATAAAGCCGTTGAGTCGTTGTGCAAGATTGGACAACAGATGAAGCCCCGAGACGTTGTCGAGTTCTTCGTTCCACTTGTTCAGGTGCCATGCATTCGCCAATGTATTCTTCTGGAAGGCTTGAATTTTGAATGTGTAAAGGTAACTAACTTTTTGAAAATCCTCTTGTATTGCCAGAGGCTTGGAGCGGGGGAATGGTTTACAGCTCGCGTGTCTGCTTGCGGGCTGTTCCATATCGCTTATCCCAGCGCGACCGAGCAGCAAAGAGCGGATCTTCGAACTCTTTACGGACAGCTTAGTCATGACGACATGCCGATGGTCCGTCGCTCGTCTGCACTGAACATGGGCAAGTTTGCCGCCACGGTGGAGCCGCAGTTCCTGAAGCTTGACATTCTCGAATTCTTTAAAGATCTTACAAATGACGGTACGAGTCTTTAGGACCTGCACGAAATTTGATATCTTCACCAGTCCGTGTAGCTAATGTCGCTTCCATTCGTTTCGCAGACCAGGATTCTGTGAGACTATTGGCTGTCGAAGGATGTGCTGCGGTCGGAAAGCTCCTGGAGAAAAAGGATTGCATCTCCAGCATCCTTCCTGTGATTCTGTCGTTTGCCCAGGTATTTCGTTCCACATTGTCGCTCTCCACGCATCGCGTTTCCTCCCTCAAATGTCCACCCTCCTTCAAATGCGACGTTGGGCTATTAGTAGGTTCTCAATTGATTGCATTGGCGTAACTTCTCACTGTTTTGCCAATTTGGCAGGACAAGTCGTGGCGAGTGCGCTATATGGTGGCGAACCAGCTTCACGAGCTTTGTGAGGCCGTTGGTCCCGAAGTGGCAAGGTGCTTGGCTCTCCTTTACGTTCTGTCGTCTCTCTCTCCTGGTCACATTTTTCTAATATTGGTTTTTCTTCAACCAGGGCGGAGCTTGTCCCCGCGTATGTGAAGCTTCTGAGGGACAATGAGGCAGAGGTCCGCATTGCGGCTGCTGGCAAAGTGACTAAGATCTGTGCCATTGTTAAGAATGGCGAAGCGTTCAATGTCATTCTACCATGTGTGAAGGTGGGTGATTTCTCTCACTTTGATCAAACATGCATTCTTAGAGCCATCCGTTTACTCACAGCTTGCATGTCAATCACTTTCTCAGGATCTTTCGACGGATACTTCTCAACATGTGCGGTCTGCCTTGGCGTCTGTCATCATGGGGATGGCCCCGCTTCTTGGCAAGGTGCACTTCCGTCAATACGCTGGTACCATCTCTCTTTTCAGTTTGGTTATGTGCTCATGTAGTCCGCCCACATTCCACAGGAGCTCACCATTGAAACTCTGCTACCAATTTTCCTGGCTCTGCTAAAAGATGAGTTCCCTGATGTCCGGCTCAACATTATCAGCAAGCTGGATCAAGTCAATCAAGTCATTGGAATGGACCTCCTGTCACAATCGCTTCTTCCAGCTATTGTGGAATTGTCAGAGGACAGACACTGGCGAGTGCGACTTGCCATCATTGAGTACATTCCTCTCTTGGCTGGCCAACTTGGAATGGAGTTCTTCGATGAGAAGTTAAAGTCGTTGTGCATGCAATGGCTTGAAGACCAGGTAAATAATCATTCCTCCTGTTTCTTGCTTCGAGTGCAAATGATTGTCGGTATTTCTGTGCAGTTCCTCATTTCTGACATGTTTTTGTTTGTTGGCATTGCAGGTGTACTCAATTCGTGAAGCAGCTGCGACAAACCTGAAGCGTTTAGCAGAAGAGTTCGGTGCTGAATGGGCCCAATCTCAAATCCTGCCAATGGTACGTGTCATGTCAGCAAGGTCTGTGCTTGTTGTATCACCTTTCACTCACAATGAAATGTTTGCTGTTCTGCAGATCATGGATAAAGTGAACAACTCTAACTACCTGTATCGAATGACAGTCCTGCTTTCTCTCTCCATGTTGGCCCCAGTGCTTGGTGCTGAAGCAACTTGCAATACAATGCTTCCTGTTATCCTGAATGCCGTCAAGGACGGGTAAGCAATTGTGCCCTTTTTATGTCAAGATTGCTCTGTGGATTATATGAACATTAACGTGCTATCATCCTCTGTGCCCACAGTGTACCGAACATCCGCTTTAACGTTGCCAAGATGCTTCAGTCTTTCATACCAATTGTTGAGCCATCTGTAAGTGTCGGCTTGGCTCACCTCTACCTTCTTCTGGTGAGTTCCATTCTGTTTGGTGACTATGTAATTGTTCTGGTTGTCTAATTGTTGCAGGTTGTTGAACAAACCATCCGACCTTGTCTATTGGAGCTCAATGAGGATCCTGATCCAGATGTTCGTTACTTCGCTAACCAAGCTCTTCAGGCATGTGATCAAGTTATGGTTGGTTAATAGATACAGCAGGTCACCTAGCCCTAGTGCGTTTGGTTTCTGTTGTAACCAAATTCGATTAATGGCTTGTTATGTGATATTAGCAGTCAATTATAGTGATCGCAGATTGCTTGTGGTATATCAGGATGTTACCATGAATTGATATTTGCATGATGTTACGTGAGTGTTCTTACCAGCAGCTGAGACTTGAGTCGGTGTATCCTCACCCCGTCCGCTATGCGTGGCTTGATTGGTGGAAACGCTAGAAGGGAGCATTCGATTGGTCAGTCACCTCAACACCTGCGTGTCCCCTTCGCGAGCTTCTCTGACAACGCGTTCTTCACACTTCAGTCTTCGTGCTGACTGTTGTGTTACTCCACACCGCGGCAAAGGCTTTCGGAGACTTAGCGGTGAAGCCCGCAGCATGCATTCTGCAGTAGTTGAGAGCTGAGTCTTTTCCAGCACACCTGTCTGGTTGGTTTACAGAAACCTACATCGCCTACGTCTCTTCACGACACTGTTTGGCTTTAGTTTAGAGCAGGTGCAGCTTCTTTCGCAGTGTCGTACACCATGGCGCAGACTCTTGAAGATTGGTACAAACAGATGCCCATAATAACCAGGTCTTACCTGACACTTTCGTTCTTGACAACCGCGGGTTGCGCACTCGAAGTATGGCGCTCTTTTGTAAGTGTGTCTCTTATAGTTGCTCATATTTAGGAGTACTCAGCATTGTTCGCATCCTCGTTGCAGGTCATTTCGCCGTTTTCTGTATATTTCAACTCCAACTTGATTTTCAAGAAGTTCCAGCTATGGCGGCTATTCACGAATTTCTTCTTCTTTGGGAGTATCGGTGAGTATTGTAAGTCTGGAGTTCCTCGCAAGTAACTTGTCAGCTCGTTAACCAGGTCTCGGGTGTCACTGCAGGCATCGATTTCGTTTTCCACATGTTCTTCCTCTGCCGATATTGTAAACTGCTCGAGGAGACTTCTTTCCGTGGCCGCACCGCTGATTTCTTCTTCATGCTGCTCTTTGGCGGAGTCTTGTTAACAATGGTTGCTCCCTTCGTAAACATCCAGTTTCTCGGTTCTTCGCTGACATTTATGATGGTGCGTGGATGCAGTTTGGCCTTCTTTGTTTTGAAGTGGTTTCCGTTTCTTGTTTTGCATTCGAGTATACTCATTTACCTAAGTCCTATTGCAGGTGTACGTATGGGGTAGGCGCAACCCTAATATTCAAATGAGCTTTCTTGGGTTGTTCAACTTCACAGCACCTTACCTTCCTTGGGTATGCATTACTACTTCATAATGAAATCGCTGGTTGGGTTTTTTTTTTCCTATTCATTCTCACGTACCATGCACTGTGCTTCAATCGTCTTGCAGGTCCTCTTGGGATTTTCGGTTCTTCTGGGAAGTAGCCCTGTGGTAGATCTTCTGGTGAGCACAAGTTGCCTGGCTTTGCACTCGTTTTGTCATGCATGTATTTCTCACCATCTACAGTATCCTTGTTTTCTGCTGCCTGTGGCTTACTCCAGGGAATGGCGGCAGGACATGTGTATTACTTCTTGGTAGATGTTTATCCAAAGATTTCTGGTCGCCAGCTGTTGAAAACTCCTGGCATCTTGAAGGCGCTTTTTCCACCAGATGATGTGGTGGTTGCTTTTCCTCCAGAAGAGGCAGGGTTTGATCAAGCAGCTGGTGTCAATGGGCATATGTAGTTTATGTACAGGATATTATTTTTGAACTGGCATGTGTCAGTTCTTACAATACTCGAATTGTCTCCAACTTATGGACACTCGATTTGTTAATACCTACCGTATCAGTATTGCCCCTTAATCCTTGAAAGGTTGATTCGAATCTCTTTGCCACGGGTCATGGATTCCGTGAGTCCACCAAGGTTGACGAAGGACCATGACACACCATGTGTACCTGAGATAAGAGATTTGCCATGTGACAACAGGTATGTGGTTGCAGTGTGAGCAGGAAGGTGTGAGATTCAAAGTAGATCGACTCCAATGGCACTTACTCATAAAAGGGGAGGGAGATACAATCTGGCATCCTGCGCTTGCCTTACAACAAAGTGCCTAAGGACTTCAAACAGGCACTGAACTGGTGGGCTACTTCCTTGCCCAGCAACGGCAGCAATATCACTACCGACACTAGGGAATGTACACAAGAGCTGCTGTGAGGCTCACCATTCTCTTGATGCCGAACATGCCATCTGTGAAAATGGCAGGCGGTGCATGGGACAGAAAAACACCAAGAGGTGCAATGCAGTTGTTGACATGTGCACCAACAACACTAACATTATAGGATGCTGTCAGAAGAAGTAAACAAAGACTCACTGTGCACATGAGCTGGGTCGTATGCCTCTCCCAAATTGTGGAGGAAGAGGCGATAGATTGGCTCTGCCTTATCCTGTGCCATGGCTGCATGGAAGTTGAGCCGTGTTCCCTTCGACTGACCAAAAAGGGTGAACTGACTAACTGCATTCATGGAAATGAGAGACAGTCACGAGGTATATGATTGTACAACGCATGAAACAAACAATTATACGTACCAACCAGTAGGTCCAACCCCTTTTCAACTACCTGATGAAATGAGGGGGGAGAGGAGAGGGGCAAAAAGGATGAAGTACGGTGCTGATGGACAGAAAAGAAGAGCGACAGATGGCTGGTCGAATGAATCACGTGCACTAAAACGTTGGAGAAAGAATGACGATGCAAGCAAGGCATGCCTGTTCTCAGTCAATCCAGGAATTACCAAAACAGACCAGCCACGAATCGCATGTAGAGGAAAGAGGAGATGGACGAGATGGGCAACATAAAGGAGGGAAGACCACAAGAGAGGATGAGGAAGCGAGGAATGGGTTGAGCTTCGATGCAGGCAGACATTGAGTCGAATTGTTGCATCTTCTCCTTCCTCTCCTGGCCACATGGGAATGGAGAGAATCGACTGGCGTCTGCGACACAAAGATCATGATAAAAAGAGGCAGACAATAATTACATTCACAACATTGTCAATGTCAGCCTGTTCCGATCACGTCATTTGTGTTAGTTGTGCATGGCTGTCGTTCATGTGGGTTGGCAAAGATATCAGATACTATGCACAGACACATTCAACAAACATCACTGGCGCATATTGACACGTGCACCATGCACCACCATGCACCATCACGCGCCATACATTTGTTGGCTGTCATCTTCAGTGTCACCCTCCTGCAATCCGAGCAGCACCAGCAAACCCGGGCCTATTTCCGCCACCTTTCGCCCCTCCACCTGCAGAATAGAAATAGGCAGGGGAAAACCAGGTGTATATGCAGGCACCGGGACTCCCTTAACGAAACACGCTTAAAGACACCCTTCCTCAAAATGCTTCCAGGGGAAGGTAAAGTCGGGGAGGGAAGAGATAGAGAAGACGGGTGAGGGGAAGAGCGGGCGGTGCGGGAGACGAGGATGATAAGAATGAAGATGGGAGATGTTCCTTTGGATACGGTAAGAAGGGCGAGACGCATTCCGCAATCAAAGGCTAAAGGTGTTACGCGCGAAAGGCTGAAAGGTATCTCGTAGGACGAAACACGTTGGTAACCAGGGACAACAGGAGCGGAGGCGGGTTGATAAAACAAAACGACTCGAAATCTTTAGGAAGTGGAATGAAGCGGAAGAAAAGCGCCAAATAACGTGCCTCGATTCGAGCAGAGGTCACGCAATGGAGAACTGCACGCATAGTTAGGAGTCACCGAGGATATGGACGGACGTTCCAAATATCCGCTACAAGTGCAAGGTCTACGAGCTTTACGATCCATGACACTGAACTGAAGCCTTTGAACAAATCCACTCACGCGTTTGAATAAATTCACTCAAATTTGCAGCAGAGATTGGGGAAGGGTGATGCACTGTTGACAAAAAGCATCACCAGCAAACGGTTACGTTATTTGCATTACAATATTATTACCACATTCACAGTTACATTATAATGCTCCTAGTTGGAGCTTATTTCCATAATATCAATGTTTGAATAATCCAGTTCAGGAACTCAATATCAAGTATCCAACTAAGCTACTCATCTACTAGAAGTCCTATTGAATAAATTATATATTGAAAATCCTCTAGTGTACTAATATAATTCCAATGCTCTGTATGCATGGGGGGTTCCTCTTGGCCGCTAGGAGCAGGGCTCCTAACGTTACACCCAAGCACCACGTTGAGGTGGGAACCATCGCTTGGGGCCACCTGTTGGAGGGGAAGAGAGAACACAGAAAGAAGGAAACTGCTCGGGGCAGGTGAAAATTATCCTCAAATCCACTGCCGCCCATCCTTGCTGGCCCTCCCTGCTGCTGTGCAATTTTGCTCACTGCAAAACTTGCAGTGAGGAACAGGCAAGAGGATTTTGAGATGAGTCGTCTCTCAAAACCCTGTTTTTGCTCACTGCAGCGACTCTGCAGTGAGGAGAAGAGAGAGAGAGAGTGGGTTTCAAGACGTCTCTCAAAACTCATAAGAGGAGAGAGGAGGAACGGAACACTGCAGTGCACTGCAGGACACAACAGAACTGCCACCGGCAGCTCACAACTGGATTTGAGGCGCCTCAAACCAGCAAACGAGGTCCTCACACCCCACTCTCACTCTCAATCTAACTCTCACTCGCTCCTCCCCTCACCCTCACACTGCAGCCTGCTGCAGATCTCCACACTCCGCCCCCCTCTCAACACTCTGCTCCCCCTGTATGAGCCATCTCCTCTCCCGGCCCATCACTTCACTTCACAGCACCAACGGCATCTCCAATGTGAGGGAGGTAGGAGCGACTGAGGTAGGAGCGACTGAGGTAGGAGCGACTGAGGCAGCAGCTGCAGTCCCATCACCACTGGTGTCTCTTCTGCTCCCGCTGCGCTGCCACCGGTAGGGCCATTGCAGGCCTCTCTTCTCCTGCAACTGCTGCCGCCACCGCCGGTGTCATCGTTGGTTTTCTCTTCTGCTGCCACTGCTGTTGTCCTTCTCTTCTGCTGCCACTGCTGCTGTCCTTCTCTTCTGCTGCCACTGCTGCTGTCCTTCTCGTCTGCAGCTGCTTCTCCTTTTGTTGCAGCCCATCACCCTCGCTCCTCCAATCCACTTCACCTGTCCTCCTATCACTTCACAGCACCAGAAGCAGCACACAGGAGGGAGGTAGGAGCGAGCGAGGTAGCAGCGCCCAACACCCCGCTCCTCCCTCATTCTGCTCCCCCCTTCACTCTGCAGCGCTCTGGGAGGTGGCAGCTGCCGTGTCCATGAGTGAGGAGAGAGGTAGGAGCGCTGATAGGCCGTCTCCTCTGCTCCCCTGCTGCAGCGCTCAACACTCCGCTCCTCCCTCATTCTTCTCCCCCCTTCACCTCTGCTCCCCATCTCCTTTGCGCCTCTGCTCCATCTCCTTTCCGCCCCTGCTCGGTCTCCTTTGCTCCATCTGCTTCTCCTCTGCTCCATCTGCTTCTCCTCTGCTTCATCTGCATCTCCTCTGCTCCATCTGCTTCTCCTCTGCTCCATCTGCTTCTCCTCTGCTCCATCTGCTTCTCCTCTGCTCCATCTGCTTCTCCTCTGCTTCATCTGCATCTCCTCTGCTCCATCTGCTTCTCCTCTGCTCCATCTGCTTCTCCTCTGCTTCATCTGCATCTCCTCTGCTCCATCTGCTTCTCCTCTGCTCCATCTGCATCTCCTCTGCTCCATCTGCTTCTCCTCTGCTCCATCTGCATCTCCTCTGCTCCATCTGCATCTCCTCTGCTCCATCTGCTTCTCCTCTGCTCCATCTGCTTCTCCTCTGCTCCATCTGCTTCTCCTCTGCTCCATCTGCATCTCCTCTGCTCCATCTGCTTCTCCTCTGCTCCATCTGCTTCTCCTCTGTTTCATCTACCCGGCTCCTTCGTCTCCTAGGCAGCCGTCGCTCATCTGCTCCTTTGTCTCCACTGCTGCTGTGCCTCGACCGACCGTATGTGATGGGAGGGGAATGGAATGATGAGAGCGGATGAGAGCATGGCACCGATTGCACCCCATGCCTAGAAATAACTTAGAGTAGATGCGAATCGAATAAAGAATCAAACAAAACAAAACAGGAAGAAAGAGGATTACCGTTGGCAGTGCGGTGAAGATGCATCCACCACTGTGCTCTTTCGTTCCTCTGCTCCTTAGTTCCTTGCTCCGTCCCTCCTTCACTCCTTTGCTCCTCTGGTCCGTCGCTCCCTTGTCTCCACAGCTGCACTGCCGCAGCCGACCGTCTGTGATGGGAGGGGAATGGCTCAGGGCCGATTAGACCATGGCCTCGAGTGCACCCAGTGCATAGTAAAAACTTACAGCAGATGCGAAACGAAACAGGCATCAAACGAATAAAACAGCAAAGGTAAGAAAGAGGATAACCACCGATGGGAGTGAAGATTTATCCACCACCGTGCTCCTTCGCTCCGTCGCCCTCAGCCTGAGAAGACCGTGCTCCTTCGCTCCTTCGCTCCTCTGCTCCTCATCTCCTCTGCTACTCCACCTCCTCAGCTCAGGGCGGAATGGGAAGAGGGCGTTCCTCTGCTCCTCTGCTCCTCGCTCCTTCGCCTCCTCTTCTCCTTCACTCCCTCACTCCTTGCTCCCTGCTCCTCTGTTCCGCAGCTCCTTCGCTCCTTCCTCCTCTGCTCCTTCACTCCACAGCTACTCCCATCCCGTCTGCCCCATCTCCTCTGCTCCATCTCATTTCCTGCGGAACGGAAGGAGAAAAGCCATGAGCTCATGGCACTGGTACGGCGAGATGAGAGAAGTGTCGTCGCGGCGGTTGCACCCCGTGCCAACAAGTGATTCAGAATGAATGCAAAGGGAACGAGGCAATGACCATCAGTTGAGAGCAGCAAAGGAGATACTCACTGCCAGTGGTAGGGGATTCTCTTTCGCTCCTCTGCCTCCTCTGCTTCTCCTCGCCTCCGCTTCTCCTCTGCTGCTCATCTCATCTCCTGCAGAATGGGAAGGAAGCAAAAACCTATGAGCACCCAGTGATTGCACCCAGTGCCAAGAAGCAATTCAAAATCGATGCCAAGCGATCAAGGCACCGACCATCCATCCAAAAGAACAAGACATTGAGAGCAGGAAATGGATACTCACTGGCAGTGGGAACGGCAGAGAATCCTCCTTAGCCTCCTCCCTCCGCTGCTTCTCTGCTCCTCCTCCCCTCCTCCTCTCCTCCTCCTCTGCACCTCCTCTGCTCCTCCTCTCCTCCTCCGCTCCTCCTCCGCTCCTCCTCCGCTCCTCCGCTCCTCCTCCGCTCCTCCTCCGCTCCTCCTCCGCTCCTCCTCCGCTCCTCCTCTGCTCCTCCTCCTCCGCTCCTCCTCCTCCACTCCTCCTCCGCTCCTCCGCTCCTCCTCCTCCTCCGCTCATCCTCCGCTCCTCCTCCGCTCCTCCTCCTCCGCTCCTCCTCCTCCGCTCCTCCTCCTCCGCTCCTCCTCCTCCGCTGCTCCTCCTCCGCTCCTCCTCCGCTCCTCCTCCGCTCCTCCTCCGCTCCTCCCCCTCCGCTCCTCCTCCGCTCCTCCTTCGCTCCTCCTCCGCTCCTCCTCCGCTCCTCCTCCTCCGCTCCTCCTCCTCCGCTCCTCCTCCGCTCCTCCTCCTCCACTCCTCCTCCTCCGCTCCTCCTCGGCTCCTCCTCCTCCGCTCCTCCTCCGCTCCTACTCCTCCGCTCCTCCTCCTCTGCTCCTCCTCCGCTCCTCCTCCTCTGCTCCTCCTCCTCCGCTCCTCCTCCTCCGCTCCTCCTCCTCCGCTCCTCCTCCTCCGCCTCCGCTCCTCCTCCTCCGCTCCTCCTCCTCCGCTCCTCCTCCTCCGCTCCTCCTCCGCTCCTCCTCCGCTCCTCCTCCTCCGCTCCTCCTCCTCCGCTCCTCCTCCTCTGCTCCTCCTCCGCTCCTCCTCCTCCGCTCCTCCTCCTCCGCTCCTCCTCCTCCGCTCCTCCTCCTCCGCTCCTCCTCCGCTCATCCTCCGCTCCTCCTCCGCTCCTCCTCCGCTCCTCCTTCGCTCCTCCTCCGCTCCTCCTCCACTCCTCCTCCTCCACTCCTCCTCCTCCGCTCCTCCTCCTCCGCTCCTCCTCCTCCGCTCCTCCTCCGCTCCTCCTCCTCCGCTCCTCCTCCTCCGCTCCTCCTCCTCCGCTCCTCGTCCTCCGCTCCTCCTCCGCTCCTCCTCCTCCGCTCCTCCTCCTCCGCTCCTCCTCCTCCACTCCTCCTCCTCCGCTCCTCCTCCTCCGCTCCTCCTCCTCCACTCCTCCTCCTCTGCTCCTCCTCCGCTCCTCCTCCTCCGCTCATCCTCCGCTCCTTCTCCGCTCCTCCTCCTCTGCTCCTCCTCCTCCGCTCCTCCTCCGCTCCTCCTCCTCCGCTCCTCCTCCTCCGCTCCTCCTCCTCCGCTCCTCCTCCTCCGCTCATCCTCCGCTCCTCCTCCGCTCCTCCTCCTCCGCTCCTCCTCCTCCGCTCCTCCTCCGCTCCTCCTCCTCCGCTCCTCCTCCGCTCCTCCTCCTCCGCTCCTCCTCCTCCGCTCCTCCTCCTCCGCTCATCCTCCGCTCCTCCTCCGCTCCTCCTCCTCCGCTCCTCCTCCTCCGCTCCTCCTCCGCTCCTCCTCCTCCGCTCCTCCTCCTCCGCTCCTCCTCCTCCGCTCCTCCTCCGCTCCTCCTCCTCCGCTCATCCTCCGCTCCTCCTCTGCTCCTCCTCCTCCTCCTCCTCCTCCTCTCCTCCTCCTCTCCCCCTCCTCTCCTCCTCCTCTCCTCCTCCTCTCCTCCTCCTCCTCCTCCTCTCCTCCTCCGCTCCACCTTTGCCGCTCCTCTGCTCCTGCGTTTCCCCTCTGCTCCTGCGCTCCTCCTGCTCTGCTAAATCAGACAAACAAAGCAACATTAGCATGTGTGGAAAACGGAAAGCAGAAAACGGAACGAGACTTACCGAGGTTGGCTGGAGTCTTCATGCCTTGGTCCCCTGTCTGAAACACGAAGCAACACACAAAAAACATTAGTACGAGTGGGAAAACAACAAACTGAAATGGAACAAGACTTACCGAGGTTGGCTGGAGTCTTCATGCCTTGGTCCCCTGTCTGAAACACGAAGCAACACACAAAAAACATTAGTATGAGTGGGAAAACAACAAACTGAAATGGAACAAGACTCACCGGGGTTGGCTGGAGTCTTCATGCCTTGGTCCCCTGTCTGAAACACGAAGCAACACACAAAAAACATTAGTACGAGTGGGAAAACAACAAACTGAAATGGAACAAGACTCACTGAGGTTGGCTGGAGTCTTCATGCCTTGGTCCCCTGTCTGAAACACGAAGCAACACACAAAAAACATTAGTACGAGTGGGAAAACAACAAGCAGAAATGGAACAAGACTTACCGAGGTTGGCTGGAGTCTTCATGCCTTGGTCCCCTGTCTGAAACACGAAGCAACACACAAAAAACATTAGTACGAGTGGGAAAACAACAAACTGAAATGGAACAAGACTTACCGAGGTTGGCTGGAGTCTTCATGCCTTGGTCCCCTGTCTGAAACACGAAGCAACACACAAAAAACATTAGTACGAGTGGGAAAACAACAAGCAGAAATGGAACAAGACTCACTGAGGTTGGCTGGAGTCTTCATGCCTTGGTCCCCTGTCTGAAACACGAAGCAACACACAAAAAACATTAGTACGAGTGGGAAAACAACAAGCAGAAATGGAACAAGACTCACCGAGGTTGGCTGGAGTCTTCATGCCTTGGTCCCCTGTCTGAAACACGAAGCAACACACAAAAAACATTAGTACGAGTGGGAAAACAACAAACTGAAATGGAACAAGACTTACCGAGGTTGGCTGGAGTCTTCATGCCTTGGTCCCCTGTCTGAAACACGAAGCAACACACAAAAAACATTAGTACGAGTGGGAAAACAACAAGCAGAAATGGAACAAGACTCACTGAGGTTGGCTGGAGTCTTCATGCCTTGGTCCCCTGTCTGAAACACGAAGCAACACACAAAAAACATTAGTACGAGTGGGAAAACAACAAGCAGAAATGGAACAAGACTTACCGAGGTTGGCTGGAGTCTTCATGCCTTGGTCCCCTGTCTGAAACACGAAGCAACACACAAAAAACATTAGTACGAGTGGGAAAACAACAAGCAGAAATGGAACAAGACTTACCGAGGTTGGCTGGAGTCTTCATGCCTTGGTCCCCTGTCTGAAACACGAAGCAACACACAAAAAACATTAGTAAGAGTGGGAAAACAACAAGCAGAAATGGAACAAGACTTACCGAGGTTGGCTGGAGTCTTCATGCCTTGGTCCCCTGTCTGAAACACGAAGCAACACACAAAAAACATTAGTACGAGTGGGAAAACAACAAGCAGAAATGGAACTAGACTTACCGAGGTTGGCTGGAGTCTTCATGCCTTGGTCCCCTGTCTGAAACACGAAGCAACACACAAAAAACATTATTACGAGTGGGAAAACAACAAGCAGAAATGGAACAAGACTCATGGAGGGGTTCTCGAGCATTCAATGCCTTACTGGCGGCTAAAACAGGAAGACACACAGGAACATGCAACATTAGGCATTAGACAAAACACAAGAATGAAAAGCAGACTGCAACTTACAGCAGGTCCCGTGTTGCTGCTGCGTTCCACTGTTGCGCCGCCCTTAGTGTTGCCCCCGTGGTTGCTGTACCTAGTAGAGAGGGAGGCACACAATTGATCCTTTGCCCCCCAGGGAGCAAAGCATGCGCCTCACTTGAAGCTGCCCCTTCCTCCAGTCTTGCTTCAGGACCAGCTGTGCAATTTTGCTCACTGCAAAACTTGCAGTGAGGAACAAGCAAAACGATTTTGAGATGAGTCGTCTCTCAAAACCCTGTTTTTGCTCACTGCAGCGAATCTGCAGTGAGGAGAAAGAGAGAGATTGAGTGTGAGTTTCAAGACGTCGCTTGAAACACACAAGGGAATGAGTTTCAAGACGTCTCCCAAAACTCAGAGAAGAGGAGAGAGGAGGAACGGAACACTGCAGTGCACTGCAGGACACAACAGAACTGCCACCGGCAGCTCACAACTGGATTTGAGGCGCCTCAAACCAGCAAACGAGGTCCTCACACCCCACTCTCACTCTCAATCTAACTCGTACTCGCTCCTCCCCTCACCCTCACACTGCAGCCTGCTGCAGTTCTCAACACTCCGCTCGCCTCTCACTCTTGCTCTCCTCACATCCTCTCTATGCTCCTCCCAGCAGGTCCCAGCCGTCTCCCTCCACTGCTGCTGCTGCTACTGCTGCTCCCCGCTGCTGCTGCTGCCACCGCTGCTGTCACTGCGGGCCTCTCTTCTGCTCCCACTGCTGCTGCCACCGCTGGCGTCACTGTTGGTTTTCTCTGCTGCTGCAACCGGAAGTGTCATTGCGGGCCTCTCTTCTGCTGCAACTGCTGCTGCCACCGCTGGTATCACTGCGGGCCTGCTCCCACTCCTGCTGCCACCGCTGCTGTCACTGCTGGTTTTCTCTGCTGTTGCCACTGGTATCATTGCGGGCCTCTCTTCTCCTGCAACCGCTGCTGCCACCGCTGGTGTCATCGTTGGTTCTCGCTTGCCACTGGTATCATTGCGGGCCTCTCTTCTCCTGCAACCGCTGCTGGCACCGCTGGTGTCATCGTTGGTTCTCTCTTCTGGTGTCATTGCGGGCCTCTCTTCTGCTTCCAGTGCTGCTGCCACCGCTGCTGTCACTGCGGCCCTCTCTTCTGCTCCCACTGCTGCTGCCACCGCTGATGACTCTGTTGGTTTTCTCTTCTGCTGCCACTGCTGATGACTCTGTTGGTTTTCTCTTCTGCTGCAACCAGTGATGTCATTGCGGCCCTCTCTTCTACATCCACTGCTGCTGCCACCGCTGCTGGCCTTTCTTTTGTTGCCAGTGCTGCTAATGCCAGTTCACCTGTCTCCTCTCCTCCCTCTGACTCCATCGTTGGCGGGAAGCGCAGCTCCAGCTCATGCCGTTGACTCGCCTGGCGTTGCGGGCGTCAGCTGCTCTCCTCCCCTTCGCCATCTCCTCTGCTCTCCTTCCCTTCGCCATCTCCTCTGCTCTCCTCCCCTTCGCCATCTCCTCTGCTCTCCTCCCTCGCCATCTCCTCTGCTCTCCTCCCCTTCGCCATGTCCTCTGCTCTCCTCCCCTTCGCCATCTCCTCTGCTCTCCTCCCTCGCCATCTCCTCTGCTCTCCTCCCCTTCGCCATCTCCTCTGCTCTCCTCCCCTTCGCCATCTCCTCTGCTCTCCTCCCCTTCGCCATCTCCTCTGCTCTCCTCCCCTTCGCCATCTCCTCTGCTCTCCTCCCTCGCCATCTCCTCTGCTCTCCTCCCCTTCGCCATCTCCTCTCCTCTCCTCCCCTTCGCCATATCCTCTCCTCTCCTCCCCTTCGCCATCTCCTCTGCTCTCCTCCCTCGCCATCTCCTCTGCTCTCCTCCCCTTCGCCATCTCCTCTGCTCTCCTCCCCTTCGCCATCTCCTCTGCTCTCCTCCCCTTCGCCATCTCCTCTGCTCTCCTCCCCTTCGCCATCTCCTCTGCTCTCCTCCCTCGCCATCTCCTCTGCTCTCCTCCCCTTCGCCATCTCCTCTCCTCTCCTCCCCTTCGCCATCTCCTCTCCTCTCCTCCCCTTCGCCATCTCCTCTGCTCTCCTCCCTCGCCATCTCCTCTGCTCTCCTCCCCTTCGCCATCTCCTCTCCTCTCCTCCCCTTCGCCATCTCCTCTGCTCTCCTCCCCTTCGCCATCTCCTCTGCTCTCCTCCCCTTCGCCACCTCATCTCCTCTCCTCCCCTTCGCCATCTCCTCTGCTCCAGTCCAGCCGCCTCCTCTCCTCTCATCCCCTGCTCCAGCTCATGCCGTTGACTGGCTTTCAGTCCTCCCAACACCAGCGCCAGGGAGTGAGAGGACTTCAGCAGGTCCTGTCTTCTGGTGTTTCTGTTGATTCCACTTCTGCTGCTGCCACAGCTGCTTTGCAGCCGCTGCCACTCTCCTCCTGCTGTCTCTGCCGATGCTGTCGCATGAACAACTCGATGAACAAAGCAAAGATGAACGAATACAAGGATGAAAATAGAAAGCGGAGACACGAGGAGAACACGAAGCCATAGAAGCAACGAAGCAACGAAGGCAGATGGAAACGCGAATCAGGAGGGAGAGGGGAGGGAGAGCAGAAGGAAGCAAGGGGGCTGTTCTGTCACGGCTCCAGTTACATACTTGTTGCTCCAGTCGCTGCTGCTCCTCCGGCTGCTGCCGCTGCAAATGCTGCTCCTGTCGCTGCTTCTCCGTTTCCCCAGCAACGCCTCACCGTCCGTCCCTGTACAAGAAACCACAAGGTGCAAACCCACAGAGAAGGTTAGTAGCTGGGTAGAGGTTACAAGTTGACAGAGAGAAAACAGATGACACAATGCAAGGAGAAGAACGACGTACAATGACACAATACAAGTATGAGGAGGGAGGAGAGGAGGAGGAGGAGGAGGAGGAGGAGGAGGAGGAGGAGGAGGAGGAGGAGGAGGAGGAGGAGGAGGAGGAGGAAAAGGAGGAGGGAGGGCCGTTACTGGCAAGGCTACACCCACAAGCCACAGAGGCAAGGCAGGTGTTTTAACTCTTACACTTGGTCTTCGTCGTTGTAGCGGGGGGCAAAGGCCGGATGCACTTACGCTGGGCCATTTACCCCGAAGTACCCAAGGGAAGGGGGTTACCGGATGCTCTTACACTGGGGCCGTTGCCCGAAGTACCCAAGGGGTAAGCGTCTGTGACCCGTGGGGTTCACCTCAACCAGCAACGACGGAGGAGGAGGAAGAAGAGGAGGAGGAAGAGGAGGAGGAGGAGGAGGAGGAGGAGGAGGAGGAGGAGGAGGAGGAGGAGGAGGAGGAGGATTAGGAGGAGGAGGAGGAGGAGGAGGAGGAGGAGGAGGAGGAGGAGGAGGAGGAGGAGGAGGAGGAGGGGGACGAAGGAGCATGGAAATCGAAAAAAGCAGAGGGTCAGGGAGAGGGAACTTAGCGGGTTGCTGATTGCCGTTGGAGCTGCAGTCAGCATCCGTGCTCCATGCTCCGCCATGGTCCAAGGCCAGTCAGCATCCGCGCCTCTCCCCTGATGCATCTGCGGCTCTCCCCTGATGCATCTGCGTCTCTCCCCTGCACAAGGAACCACAAGGTGCAAACCCACAGTGAAGGTTAGTAGCTCGTAGAGGTTACATGTTGACAGAGAGAAAACAACGCCGAACAGAAGGCAAATGATATGCGAAAAGGAGGAGGAGGAGGAGGAGGAGGAGGAGGAGGAGGAGGAGGAGGAGGAGGAGGAGGAGGAGGAGGAGGAGGAGGAGGAGGAGGAGGAGGAGGAGGAGGCGGGGGAGGAGGAGGAGGAGGGAGGGCTGTTACTGGCAAGGCTACTCCCACAAGCCACAGACACAAGGGAGGTGTTTTAACTCTTACACTTGGTCTTCGTTGTTGCAACGAGGGGAAAAGGCCGGATGCACTTACGCTGGGCCATTTACCCCGAAGTACCCAAGGGAAGGGGGTTACCGGATGCTCTTACACTGGGGCCGTTGCCCGAAGTACCCAAGGGGTAAGCGCCTGTGACCCGTGGGGTTCACCTCAACCAGCAACCACGGAGGAGGAGGAGGAAGAGGAGGAGGAGGAGGAGAAGGGAAGGAGGCGGAGGAGGAGGAGGAGGAGAGGAGGAGGAGGAGGAGGAGGAGGAGGAGGAGGAGGAGGAGGAGGAGGAGGAGGAGGAGGACGACGACGACGACGAAGGAGCATGGAAATCGAAAAAAGCAGAGGGTCAGGGAGAGGGAACTTAGCCGGTTGCTGATTGCCGGTTGGAGCTGCAGTCAGCATCCATGCTCCATGCTCCGCCATGCTCCAAGGCCAGTCAGCATCCGCGGCTTTCCCCTGATGCATCCACGGCTTTCCCCTGATGCATCTGCGTCTCTCCCCTGCACAAGGAACCACAAGGTGCAAACCCACAGTGAAGGTTAGTAGCTGGGTAGAGGTTACATGTTGACAGAGAGAAAACAACGCCGAACAGAAGGCAAATGATATGCGAAAAGGAGGAGGAGGAGGAGGAGGAGGAGGAGGAGGAGGAGGAGGAGGAGGAGGAGGAGGAGGAGGAGGAGGGAGGGCTGTTACTGGCGAGGCTACTCCCACAAGCCACAGACGCAAGGGAGGTGTTTTAGCTCTTACACTTAGTCTTTGCCGTTGCAGCGAGGGGCAAAGGCCGGATGCACTTACGCTGGGCCATTTACCCCGAAGTACCCAAGGGAAGGGGGTTACCGGATGCTCTTACACTGGGGCCGTTGCCCGAAGTACCCAAGGGGTAAGCGTCTGTGACCCGTGGGGTTCACCTCAACCAGCAACGACGGAGGAGGAGGAAGAGGAGGAGGAGGAGGAGAAGGGAAGGAGGAGGAGGAGGAGGAGGAGGAGGAGGAGGAGGAGGAGGAGGAGGAGGAGGAGGAGGAGGAGGAGGAGGAGGAGGAGGAGGAGGAAGGAGCATGGAAATCGAAAAATGCAGAGGGTCAGGGAGAGGGAACTTAGCCGGTTGCTGATTGCCGTTGGAGCTGCAGTCAGCATCCATGCTCCAACTCCAATCAGCAGAATCCGCGCCTCTCTCTTGATGCATCTGCGCCTCTCCCCTGATGCATCCGCGTCTCTCCGCCATGCTCCATGCTCAACGCCAGTCAGCATCTACTCTAATTGGAGCTTGAACCGTGGCTGCCCCAGACCTTCGCTCAAATCGCTCCTGCATGGACGGACCACAACCGACCCGCGAGCAAAACATGTGTCATGAAAACTCACCACAACCGACCCGCGAGCCTCCTTAGTAGCGGCGCGAACTTCGACATATTCGCGTCCATATTCACAAGATCCGCAGAAAAGTCGCGAGCTTCGTAGGAACGTCGCGAGCTTCGTAGGAACGTCGCGAGCTTCGTAGATACGTCGCGCTGCTCCCACCATGACGCATCCGCGTTGCTCCCGCGACGAATCTGCGCTGCTCGCGTCATGCATCCGCTCTGTTCCGCTCCGCGGAGAGCGATGTGAGTCAAGGAGATGCTTCGCGCTGCTTCCCGTTTCAAGCGGCGATCATGCTTCATGTCCTTCGCCTGTCAGTTGTTCCCCGCGATGCGCCGCGCTCCTTCGTCAGCGTCGGATTTCTTCGTTAGCGTCGCAAGCGTCGTCGGTAGTAATACTAGTAGTGGTGGCCTTGGATGCTGCGAGGACAGCAGGCGTTTGTATTCAGCGAACAGCTGACGAGAAACGGCGTCGTATTCAGAGATTGAACCGTCGCAGGCGTTCGTATTCAGATTGAACAGTTGCATAGGACAGCTGACGAGATTGAAACGTCGCATTTTCCAGAATCCGTAAGCGCCGTGACCGTTGAAGTTTTCGCAGCGACAGCCTTCTCGTAAGAACAATCCCCTCGTAAGGACAGTCTCATGAAACGTCGCATTGATAGAAGCGCTAAGCGACTCCTTTCTCGGCTGTAACAACTGCGACTGGAACGTCGCACACATGTTGCGTTGAGCGACTCATCCTCGTCTATGCAGCTTTAAGAGTGAGGATGGCTAAAACGTCGCGCAGATGTGTCATTGAGTGACTCATTTTTGTCTATAACAACGTAGTAACGAGTGAGATGGATGAAACGTCGCACACATGACGGCGCTGCGATGATGGATTAAACTTTACGATAAATCTTCGTAGCAAGGCTTCGTGACCTCCGGGAAAATAGTAGCATAATGTCTCGTCGAGCACGGAACTGATCATAGATCTTATACTAGCGATGATGAAACTGATATTTCTCACTAGGCTTTAAGATCCTGCACATCCTCCTTAAGAATCTTAAGCTTAACGCGCTTCGGGAATAGGCCACGTCACGAGAATTACCTCCACGGTACAATAATCCAAGGAAGTCATGGCTACGGATGAATTGAGTTTGAGAACATGACGAGATTCGTGTCTGAGACAAAGCCTGCATAGGGAATGCCTGAGGAACTGGCAAGAGGTGAATAAGTGACGAAAAAATGGGGAAAACAAGTGCGGTGGTGCAGGTTTCAGGCAGGTGCAAATAGGCTATACGTGTTCAAGAATGGTGTAAAAAGGTGACGCAAAGTGAGGTGGAGTGATGGTAAGAGAAAGGTGAAAGGGAAGCGACTGAGCAGCAAGGAGCGGCGGCGAGTCGAGTCGCCATGCGCAGTGCTCCCCTCCACCCAAAGGGGCAGAGTTCCCGAAGGGGCAGGGTTTCCCCTCGCCGCGGCAAGCCCGGGGCGGGGAAGTTGTTGCAAAGTCCGCTGACGAATTGCGCGCTGTTATCGGGAGATAGTCCGCCAACGATGTGTGCCTGAAGGCGGGAACGGCGGAAAGTGTTGGGGTGGGGGTCAGCAACAACACCTTTGGCGACCAGATGGCCCTGTGCGCGGGCAAGAGCCGCCGTGAGCAAAATTATGAGTGAGCACGAACTGTTACACTGTCATGGTGGGATGCTTCTGTTCCCAGGTCGGATGATCTGACGGCTGAGCACAGCTATTTGGTTTGCTACATCCAATTCTCGGCAGAGATGCTGTGGATGTGGATATGGATGTCATGACCCGACGTCATCACCATGCGTCATTCCCGAGGCAATTCACTTGTGTCAGACCACCCGATTCAAATTTGAGGCAATTGTCAAGTCCCGCAATCAGACGCGACGCCGCTTTTATACTCGTTTTAATAGTTCAGACTGTGACACTCCACCCATCGAACCATTGAACTCTATAGTTAAAAAACATTCGAAATATGCAAATACTGACTCTTTATCCCAATATAAACATTGTGCCTAGTATGTGGATAACGGATGGTGTACCCATGGATTGCTGATGCCATATTCGAAGGCAAGCCCCCATATTGGTTAAAAGGTACGCCGAATACTCAGATCAGACTACCCAGGCAAATCAGTGTAACTGCATGCATCACCACATCCGTTCACTGCAATGTGCACTGCATCCTTTTCCTAGTCTCTGACAAGAGAGTCCCATGTTCAGGTTGGGAATACTAGTACATGAAGATTCAGCTGTATCTTGAAAAGCGGATAGATCAAGCGAAAACACAACTGCGTTGTAACAACACATGTCAGGATTGCACCTGATATTATCAACCCCGGCTGTCCTCCCTGTCGTTGAACACCTTGTGAACGCCCGCCTGCAAGCACACGAGCAGCAACATGACAGGAGGAACCACACAGCTGGACAACATTAGGTCAAGTGAGAAACACAAATCACAACAGCGGCCGCACTGCACTGTTGAGATATCAACCCCGGCCGTCCTCCCTGTCGTTGAACACCTTGTGAACGCCAGCCTGCAAGCACAAGGCAAGAGCGACAGGAAAAAAGAAACACAGAACCTCAGACCCGCAGCCACGCCCACAGATGCCTCAGATCAGACGACACCTGAGTGCTGTTCAGGCGACAACAGTTCAGATGGCATCGTTTTTTTTAAGCAGCTCGCGAGTGGCCATGGTGGCGCATCCCGTTTTCAGACATCTCAAAACTCGGCGATGGTGGCGTATCTCGACTTTCAAGGCAGGCAGGAGTCCATTCTGGGGATTCTCATAAGTGCATTATGAAACATGGTTGGTCGCACTCACTGCAGTGAAGGCTTTAAGCGGCTCACGGATGGCCATGGTGGCATACCCCGATTTCCGAGATATGCAGGCAGATTCCATTCCGAGAACTCTCAGAAGAGAATCATGAAACATGGTTGGTCACACTCACAGCAGTGGAGGCTTCAAGCAGCTCGCGAATGGCCATGATAGCTGTCACCGCATATGCACGTTATGCATATGCAATAACAGTAGAATACAGGTGCAGGAGGCAGAATAGTATAGAAGGATATATGCACTTAATGCATACATATACCAACACTAGCATGAGGGCGGAATGTAGTACAGTAACGGTTGCAATAGGCAAAAGAGGGGGAAACAGAAAAGGGACGGTTGGGTTAGCGGGGGAAAGGCACCGAGGGGCGAAACGGGAAACCAAATCCCAACCCCGAGCCGCACATTGGGAAATGTGCTATCTGGGGCAGGGTTGGGTAAAGCCACTCACACTCACCCACTCGATGCTTGTTTCCTATTATTCTCTTGGAATAGTGAAAGTTGTCATCTTAGCTCTAGCATTCGGTGGCACACCACTAAGAGGGAACCTTTGGGGTGAGGGAGCAATCCCGTTCAGACTAGGAAACACGCATCGAGTCTAGCAAATAGACATGGACAAGTACGAGCTTCGCTGGGGTAGGATATTCAGTCACCGTGAGAGGAACGGCCACGACGCAAACCATCGCGCGAGCGCGGGCGATCACTGGAGCGATCGCCGTGGAGGCCGGCTTTCCGCGCAGACCGAATTCCGGTCGCACAGGATCGACAGGAGGAAAGGAACCAGCGGCGGAGTGTACACTGGGGGAGCGGAGGAGGGCGCGTGGCGGAGAGAGAGAGCCCGCGGGACGGGAGACGAGAACGGTAACCGCCGTGACGCAGGAACGTTCCGCTCGCCACCAGCAGCGAGGAAGGAAGAATGAGGAGGAGCGCTCACCAGAGGATAGTCGGCGGCGTAGCAGGAGGGGAGACGCATGGTCACCTTCGCCGGAAAGACAGAGACAGCGTGAGATAAGCCAAGAAAAGGGGAAGAAGGCGTACGAATCGTCGGCGCGGCAGTGGGAGCGGGCAGAGGGATGGAGGGGCCCGAGAGAGGGGCGCCAAGAGCAGAGATGGGATCGGCAGGAGAGCAGGACGGAGGGTGGAAGCTTGGCGTACGGCACGGAACGGGCCCGGCAGGCCAGGGAAGGGATGGAAAGGGCCAAGGAGAGAGAAACCGAAGGGAGGCGGACAGGAGGGACAGGTGAATCCTGGGGAGAAGGGAGGGGAAGCACGGCCACGGCACCAAGAGTGGAAGTGCCGGCCAGATTTTCAGGGGACCAACGGCCGGGGCCCTCACTTAAGAACTACATGATGCGAGTGGGAAACGTGAGATACAGGTGTGACAGGAACGGCATGGACCCAGTAGATTTCTTCCTGAGTCTACCGAACACGCTAGAAGGAGAGGCAGAGACGCTGTACCGCATGAGAATGGATGAACTCCTATGGAGGGCAGGGAAGTACGGAGAAGACCCCACAGAGGCATTCCTGGAGCGGTTGCAAAGGCAGCTTCCCGGACATACGGCTGAGCGGATTAGGGAGTTCCAGGAGTTCAGGAGGGGAAGGGCAGAGTCGTTGCTGACTTACTACAACCGGCTAATCAACGTAGCAGAGGACGTAAGGTGCACAAACAGCAGCCTCCTCATCAGCAAGTTCTTAGGGGGTTTGGACGAGGCACTGGGAGGAGGACTGAGGATGAGGGTGTATGAGCTGGGAGCAGAGGCAAGTCTGGACGAAGTGTTTGATTTGGCAGAGAAGGTAGAGCTCGCCCAGAGGAAATATGAAGCCCGCGGAGAGAAGCCGCAGGCCGACCTGGGCAGCAGCCATGATACCGGAGGAAAGGGGGAAGACAGAAGGGAGAGAGGAGACAAGA